TTCTGCAAGCGCAATCTACGCTACTTAACGTCATCCTGATAACCACATAATTTGTCATTTTGATGTTTCGTAAACCATCTCTAATAGAAGTAAGTATCTAGCGTGGTCTAAACTTTACTTCAATCAACGGTAATAACGTACCTCGGATTTAAATTTCATAACATTATCTGTGACCGATTACTGCAATGCATACCGTTGACATACTTCGTGAATAATAATTGCGTCCGTACTGTACGAATTGCTTTATTTGCTGTCTAATTTACTTAGCAGAGATAAATTTCAGCTTAATCTTCGGCAGTGAAATTATTACCAATGGAATTAAACACCATTTTATTGACTATTATAGTACCTATTTCATCATAATAATAGGCAAAACAGGCGCTGCGATATTGGGTTGTGGAAAACGCCCGTTACACCATTCCATATCATCATAAACCTGGACTCACTTTTTGTTGGTAAAACCATTACGTCCCCGTATCAATACACGTCCTTCTGGTGGACATGTTTCATCACGCATTGAGTTATCATATTGGTATATTACAGAAAAAGTCGATATAAAAAGTAACTTATAGGCCCTTCTTCAGGGAATTAATTATTGACTTATTTCTTTTATCAACCAATCATCTCTTTCACTCATTATTTACTAAACTCATGTTAGTACGTCACAAAATAACGATTGTAGTGGGCGTCCCCAAAAACTATTACGAGATACCATCAGCCGAATAATAAGTTCTCGACATATCAACAATAAGCTGGTGTCCGAAATCGGAAAGTAATAACGTTGCCCAAGATATGGTTGCTCAAGTTTGCGTGTGGCTGACGCCCCGTACAAAGCAATATTATAGGTACATGTCTGCCAGTACTAAGTCATTTTGCAAAAGATATGCCTACAATTACATCAGTAGTGTAGACGACATTTATAGTAAGGACTCTTTGTTAAGAACTAATCACGAATGACATACGGCTTCCATTATAATTTTGGGTTTTCATTATCTTTTAAACAAGATAATGTCAGTACATTCAACGTGCAAATGTCGACTAACTGGATGGCCTATAGTTTGCTCTATGGGCGCTGCGTGAGGAGGTCCCGGATTCAATTCCTGGTAGGACCAATTTGGAAAATACCCTTTTCTAGATTGGTTCTGGTATGAATATTCTTGGAAATATCCCGGAGTGGATTGCTTCGGTATACTCGAAGCACGAGGAATTCACTAGTTTGAAATCAGGGCTGTTAAAAAAGAAAAACAATTAAGTGTTGTCCCAGTTCTAGGCACGAAGTAGATCTAGGCGATAGTCCACCACAGCATGAATCACTATTGGTGACCACCTGGAGCATAATGTATCTTGATAATACTCTCTAGAAGCTACAATTAAAACAATGAGTAGATTTTTAGAAATTGAATATTCAATACTGCAATTACGTACTTCACAGTCATTCAAATAGTGACAATTTACCAATAGATGCCTTGTGTTGCTTAATGCGTAAATGCGTAATCCAATGACACGTACAAAGCTATTTTTGCCTCAGAATATGGCGCTATACGAATGAACATAATATTGTCGATAAAGGATGCTGTACATTCTTTTGTAAGGTAAGTGGATGCACTTACCTTACAAAAGGATGTAAAACAAAGATAAAAACAGCATTTCGCAAATTTACACAACAAGCTTTTAGACGGTTTGTTCACCAACGGATGTATCAGAGAATTGTTTAACTCGGAAAGGTTAAGGTCAGTAGAATCATTATATGAATTGCAGAGGCATCTTAGACACAAAATAATCATAATATGTTTGCCAAAACTTTATGTATTTATTTATAAATACTACCACATCATATATGTATACATGTGTGTATGTGTGTGTATATATACATATATACATATATATATATA